ATACATATATATATGTATATGTATAGACACTTGTGTGTGAGTGTGTGTACTGATGTAGCGATTGTTGCTTCGTTCATGCGCCGCTGCAATACTGTACTATTAAGACATACTCTCCTTGACGACGTCGGCATTCTAAAGGAGGGAAAGGGCATGCAGAGAGGTCCCAGATGCCCATGTTGGATTCAACGTATACTGGATACCCACCCGATCCTCAACCCAAAAGGATTTCCGTGCAGATCGGCTTAGGGTCTGGATGTTCAGGGTTCACCGATGACACGTGAGTTTGCAAGGCATGGACCTCTGAGACTCAGATTTATGCTGCTGTGACTTCGCCCTTCAGCCAGCCATTATGGCATTCTTCAGACGGCCGGAAACGTTCAAGCATTCTGAAGAAGCAGTATGACCGGGTCCTTCCGACTGAAGTATGTCCTCAGTACATCACAGCGGCAGGTCTTGGTTGTGATCATTCTGCTGAACATGCTGCTGGCGATCATCATGGACAACTACATGATGGTAAAGCAGCTCTGCTGAATTAATTGTCACATGGTACGTACCAGTACTATTTGTTCGTTTGACGTAAACATGGAGCTCAAGAAGGCCTTCCTGCGTCATGCAAACCTTGACTCGCAGACCCCACCCTCGAAGCTGCGTCTACGTTGATGCTAGAACCGGGTCATCTCAGGAGCTGTTAACCTACAGTACTTCATGCGGACACGGGCCAGTGCTGCCCGTTATCACCGGTGTGCTGAGTGCCAGTCTGCGTTTGACACCCTCGAGCGACTGAACGCATGTCGACTCTGGCTGATGTTCCAACCACGGGGCAATTGCTGCAGATCTCTTGCCTCGGTGTCCGGTTTAGGGTTTAGGGTTGATCACGATATGAAGGGCCTCTGCAACCGTCCCATTGCTTTGTACACGTTCGCATGCATGTACACGCATACGAACAAGCAGGAGCATGCATGCCTGCATACATCCATACTTACATACATGCATACAAGACATGGGTACACGCATGCTCGAACTAAAGTACGATTGTATGTGCATCTAACGACACCTGTCGCAGCACCGCTTCTCACGGCAACAAGTCGCATTAACGAACCTTGGATTTTAAGGCCGACATCCTACACCGCTGGCATCTAACCACTAAACTTCACTAAACTCTTCAAAACGGATCCAAACCCCCTAAACCCTCTAAATCCTACACCAAGTGAAGCTGCAAGTTCCGCCTCTCCCCGACCCCACCCTCCCAGGAAGCGTGCGCGGCTGCGCCAGTCGTTGCTCCACCAGCCCCCGGCTGCAGAATTCCTCCGCTTCTGGTTTTGAGGGTTTAGGGTTTTAGAGAAGAAGCGATCCTGCTGCATGGTGTGTTCCTTCGGATATTGATTTTCAGAGACTCTCCTTCGAATGACAGGGGATGCATGGTGCCTAGATGAATCAACGTATGTACTATGCTTCTGGGCCCTGGGCCCTGTTAAGTGTACATGCGAGCTTGATTCAAGGGGGACTATGCGCTTCGGCATACGACGATTCCGGGCCAAAGGCTCAGGCATCGTAGGTTGTCAGTTTCGCATCTTGCTTAAATTTCTCTTGATTAATGACAAGAGAAGCTCATATCCTGGAATGCATATCTCCGCAAGACTTCTGTGGGCCAGAGTTTTGCACCCAGATGTGTCGAAAGGTTTTGGGTTGCACACCATGACCCCTGAACCCGACCTGTAAACTCAGAAAGCACGCCTTTGCAGCTCAGGATCCACGAGCTGTGGCGCCGTTGGCGGATGAATCGCAGAAAGGCTGGGCTCAGCTACAAAGACCCGCCCTGTGGGAGTTCGTTCTTGCGCTCTTACTCGGAACTTATTCGATTTCTGTAGCACTTCAGGCGCTCCGTTTGAAGCGTCATGTCTTTGCATGCCTTGAGGTCTGGCGTTCTTGAAGTTGAGACTTGAAGAATCCTCTAGCCCACACCGCCCTCAACCGGAGTTCAGCCTGAAACCCTAAGCCCTTTAGGGTTTATAGGGTTTAAGGTTTAGGGTGCAGGGTTTAGGACAGCCGACTCTACACTTGGCTTCAGTGGCCTTGAATTCCTGGGAATATTCCCGAGCAGGAGCGCGTGCAGCTGAAAGAGATCCTTGGCTCATGTCCAACGGACCTCGGGAATTCCCGGTCCAACGGGGATGTGGGACCCTAAAATAGCCCTGAATCCCTGAATTCTACTCTGCAGCTTCGAGCATTTTCTCCTAGTCTTTGGTTGAAGCTTTGCACTCAGCTGAGGATTTGGAACGCTTTTGCAGAGGAAGCTGTTTGGAATCGCAAGGCATCTGGGAGTTGCGGATAAGAACGAAAGGGGTTGCGACTGCTGCCAAATCAGTGGCTTCTCCGGAAGTTAACAGGCTAGAAGAGAAAGCTCCTGCTCCATATCGATTTACATAACCCCGAATCAGGAACTCCCATCTGTTTTTCTCTGACCTCCGACGGCCCAAGGGCTTGTTATGCCTAAAATGTGGATCATGTGTTCGCATCGCTTCAATCGGATTCCGGTCTCGGCAGATGTTGGTGCTCGCCTTTCTTGACACCGGAAGCTCCCACCTTGAAATCCTGCGAGGCTCTAACAAGGGCTGAGGCCAACCACTCGAAGACGAATTGTTGCATCATCCCATATTCTCAACGAAGTCTTCCTCCAGGGAGATTGATCTCTAATTACCACTACCTCTCGCTCTCTCTCTCTCTCTCTATCTCTGTCTGTCTCGCTTCAGTTAGACAGCATGTTCAGAGCCTGGACACGGCCATGTCGAGTGGTTCAATCCAGCGCCTGAAGACTCCTGAAACGTAGCAGGTGATGTGTCAGAGCGACCGGCTGCTGAACAGCCACTTTCTTGTCGAGCCGCTTTGCTCTGCTATCTCGACATGTCATCTGTTCCATGCTTGTCGTTTGCCGCTGCCGTCAGGCCAACCCTTCAACATTAACTCATGAACTAGCAGAAAGGGTGGATCATGCACCATCTGTTGTGTCGTCCTTTCCACCTTCCATGCAGAATGCAGCCGTCCATGTCTTGTTCTGAACATGGCTGTTGCTGGACTTCGGGGCATGTCTCTCTGCCTCTCTCCCGTTGTAGAAACTTCAGCCTGCCGCCTTCGCAGACTCGTTCCCAAGCCCATGCCCTGCAGCTGAGGTTGATACCTGGTCTTCCTCCCTCGCAAGCGGAGAGGCCCATAGTTCTGCCACATCATGGGGGCTAGCGACCAGACGATGGAATTCAAGATTAGCGAAGTAGAGTCGCAGAGAGGCAAGGAGGGTGAGGTACAAGACCCAGATGTCGCCGAAGTTGCACCCAAGCAATACACTCTGAGTCTATGGAGAAATCAATGGCACGTGGCGGCAGGTTCGTCTGGATTGTTGAGGCATGTCAGGTTCCGCCATCCTGAAGGGACAGCAATATCAGCATCCATGCATGCGGTAGACGTGACATGGCCCGAAGCATTGTCGTACCATCTATGACTCTATGAGCTACAGCTCAGATGGAAGAATGACAGTAATCCCGACCGTCTGAGATCACGAACTCAGCGGAGCCAATCCACACAGACCAAAGCCTTGCTTCTCGCCCGTGCGCTTGCAAGTGCCAGAGGACACTTCACAATTCCTGGGCGCAGCATCTGCAGGCCAGCATCGCTTGTGTGTTTGTGTGTGTGTGTGGTGTTTTCCTCCTTATGCCGGGCGACGAGTCTTGTCATGATCTTTCTTCATTGTCGGGTCAGTGGGGTTCAATGTAGCTTTCAAATTGAAACTAAGTGTCCTTGTTGTGTCATGAGTGCTGTGTTGTAGCTTCAATGGCAGTCGGTGAACGTGCAATCGAGCTGACGATAGTGGCACACCCATGATAGCAGTGATTGCGACGATGATGCTGACGATGATGATTGGTGACGATGTTGGTGGTGCTCGTCACAGTCACACCGATGTTGGTGACCTGTAGGAGGCAGCGTTTATCAAGGAGGATGTCCACGGAAGTGGTGTCGGATGATTGGCACATGATGCCCCTGCCGTTCAATCTGTTTCGGTTCGCCTGTGCTCCCTTGATTTTTCCAATCAGCATTGCTTCCAGGATAGCTTGCAAGCAAGCACCACGCAAGTCCTGATCGATCTTGATCTACTTGCAGGAGACTGAAGCGCCTTTCGCCGTTAGTGAGGCCCACGAATCCCTAGCAGACTTGGAGGCAGGTGTGGATGTGCGCCAGTCTGCGGGGATTGAACGGTTGAGGACTGTGGGAATCGAACATGCTGCATGACCTCGCCTTGTACCCATCTTAAAGCTGCCATGCTAGTACTACGCACAATAACCAAGTCGTCCTGGGGCTGAGGCCCAGTTTGGGTCTCCGGCTTGTCAGCAAAACAGCGATCATGATATGTAGCAGCACATGCGAAGCTCAACAGCAGCACTGTCATGTTGTGAGAACCGTAAGAGGGTCGTGGAAGCCAGATCCAATCTCAGAACTAACATGTCCCCTCGTACAACGACGAGTGCTGCTGCTACTAGTGGTAGCATAGCTACGACAACGAGAACTGCTACTCCCTCCTCCTCCTCCTCCTTCTTCTGCTCCTCCTGCTACTACTAGGACGACGACGATTACTGCTACCACTGCCAGCCCTACTGACTGCGATGAAGTACCTTTCCCACAACTTCCTGTGAGCTCGGCAGCGGTGCGAAAGACACATGGGGGGAATAGCAGCAACAACAACAACAACGAGAAGAAGTGGTATAGAAGGAGCAACTGCAGCACCAGAACTGGCAGAACAGTTTTCGTCGGCGTGCTAGAAGCATCGCTTGTCGCCTGCAGAGCAGCACACGCTGCATCCGGAGTGGCCTGTACTACGCCTTCGACGTGGTCCACTACTTCGATAGCCGACCTGTTCCAGGGACACCTCCGAGGGATTCTGGGCTTCGCGGGATCCTGGGCTTGGGATTGCAGCTTGTTGGGCCTTTTGCCTCGGCGAGCCCTTTGAAGATGCGTCCGAGACCATCTCCTTTACCTAGTATGTGGCTTAGACATGTTGTTGCTTTCGGCTTCTTGCCACCAGCGACCTTAAACAGCTTCCGCTTGTATCTGCGTTGGCGCATCTAGCATCAGCGCTGCCAGTTGTTCCGGGCCAACATGCCTGCATGTACCCAAATTCATACAACGCAGAGCCATGCAGCCAGACAGGACGAACGATCTCGTTACGGACACGCAGGAAAAGGCGATCTTTAAGCTGGCCATGAACGAGGCGCCAGCGAGATGCCTTCTTGAAAATACAACATATCTATATATATACACATACATATCTATAGTATATATATATATATGTATATTGATATAAGGCATTTGTATGACTCTGCTTGTTGAGAGCTGTTCATGCTGTTGTGGATCTGGACTTGCCTGTGGTGCAGTGGCTCCGGGCCTCTCACCTCAGATGTCTGTCAGAAGGGGAGAGAAGATTCAATGACCGACGCGAGTTGGCGCAATCCGGAACTCAATACGTTTCAAGCAGGAAACCTGAAACCTTAAACCTCGAACCCAGCGACCCCTAAAGCCCTAAATCCTAAACTTTTTATCTATACAACCCACCCAAGATGAATCCTGTGCAACCCATACACTTCCCCACGCAACAGGCCATTGAAGAGGAGGAGGAGTTAGCTGCCTTCACCGAGCGCGCAAGACGGGAGGAGCCCGGCTCGGGCTTATCGAGTTAAGCTTTTCCCTAGGGCTCCAGCTACCTAAATAGTAGGTTACTGGGGTACATAATATATGGTTAGTAATCCACTATTTAGGCAACTGGAGCCCTAGGGTTTGGTAGAAAATTCAAGCTTTGCTTTGGGTTCAGGGTTTAGGGCTCAGGGTTCGGAGCTGGGCGCAGCACAGAGAGATCAATGAGGCGCTCTCATATACTGTTCAAAACTTTCAGAGCCTGGGGTGGATGGGGCGATTAGTTGAAATTGTTCTCGCTCTCAGGTTCTTCGGGTCGCAAACCTTGCGCTAGTTGCTAAGATTCAATCCATGATGCACCGACATTGTGGCTGAACATGTTTCCAACTACAACATTGGCATGGCTGTCATCTTAGGCCTGCGATCATAGCCATCTCACTATATTCTTTGCAGTATTGCAGCAGTCATACTATGGCTCAGCATTCGGCATCGCGGGAAGTCTTCTTAAAGAAGCCGCTTGACTGCCGACCCCCAGCAGGAGAAGGACAGCGAGAGGACAGCTTCTCGTCCGCAAACTAAAAATGGTCACCAACTACCGAACCTCTTAGTGTCATGTTTTTGCTTGGGGAGGAGGGGGTCTGTATGGGACCTCAGACAGGAAGATGATCGACCCGCATTACATACACACATATACATGGTATAAAGACACGCATGCATACATAACATACAAACCGACGAACCGACATACGTGTGTCCATGCATACCTACATGAATGCGTTCCTTTGGCCATCCGTTCATTCGTTCTAAACCTTTAAAGGGAGGACTCGGTGCCCGAGCTCCACAAGCGTCCAGAAGCATCGATGGTAACAACTTGCCTTGCTCTTGTGATTGTAGTTAGACGAAGCTTTCGAGCGGATCTCACCGGGAATTGACTGTGTTTGAAGGCACTGCTTGGAGTGAAGGGCTTGTGAAAGCTCCCTCTGCTATTCCATATACGCTGCGTAATGAGTTCGCGCACGTCAGTCAGCAAGGTTCACCATCGCATAGGTGCGGATGTGCAGTATCAGCAGGGGTTTCCAAACCCCACGCTCCGATACAGGAGCGCTGCGAAGTCAACAAGTATTCAGCATTGCTTGTCTGCCTGTCTGTCTGTCTGCCTGCGCCTGTCTCTGTCTGTCTCCGTCCGTTCGTCTGTCCCTCCGTCCGTCCGTCTGTCTGTTGTTTGTCTTTATTGCTGTATTCAAAGCCAGTAACTAGGTAATCAAGTAAGTGAGTATGTATGTATGTATGTATGTATGTACGTATGTATGTATGTATGTATGTGAAATAGTTTGTTCGTTTGTTTATTTGTTTGTATTTTTGCTTGCAAGTGTGTTTGTTTGCTTGGTATTCATTTAGCCAGTAAGTATGCATGCAAGCAAGCAAGTAAGTAAATGATTAGCTAGATATCGGTGTACAGATGTACCCATGTCTGTAGATATACACACATTTGTTCATTTGTCTTGTGTGGTATATTTATATATTTATATATTTATAGATGTATTCATTTTCAAGTTTATATTTCTTACTATCATTATTGTTATTTCCTAATAACAATAATCATAATATTATTAATTATCATTATTACTACTATTAGAAGTAGTAGTAGTAGTAGTAGTACTAGTAGTAGTAGGAGGAGGAGAAGTAGGAGAAGTAGTCGTCGTCGTCGTCAAGAAGAGTGTTTCAGGTCGTGGCCTTCGTGGAGGATCAGACTGCGAGGCTCTCCAGCGAGGCAGCAGAGACCTTGGCCCAAGCGCTGCAAAGCTTGGCATCCCGGCAACAAGGAGAGGTTCAGGTTTTAAGGGGCCCAAATTAGGACCCGACTTTAGATTTTTGGATTGAGGGTTTAGGGCACAAGTTTAGCGTATAGGGTTTAGGGTTTAGGACCCAAGTTTAGGGTTTAGGGCCCAAGCTTAGAGTTTAGGGGAGCACTGAATGACAGCTTCTCTTCTAACGCAGCTCGTTTCTGTATTTTTTTGGGTTTTGCAAAAGGGGTTTATGGGGGGAGGTTCTTATTACCAGGCCTTATGTTGTCCTCCAAAGAAGCAATTTAGTTTGCGCTGAGTCTTTGTTCGGGTCCCCGGCTTTCTGGGTTTCGTCATCCTCGCCAGCGGGACTCTTTTGAGGCGTTACATACGCCCCAAATGCCTAAAGCTTACTTCCGAAGCCTCGAGCCTTCGGACTCCAACCGCAAAAGCTGCAGCAAAATCCATGAATCCCCCCTTTCGAACGCTTCTGCAAACTGTAAGCCCCGAATTTCCTGAAATGGTGAGGACGACTGTCGAAGACCCCCATATATCTACACTCCGCAGGCGGCTCTGTCTTTCTGACAACTTCTGGTCGAGAAGCTTTAGGATTGACAGAAACCTGGTATTGATCCCAGCCTTCAATCTAGACCACGAGCTTGGAGTACCAAAGTCAGCTCTGAGCACTCAAGAGGTTTTCTCGGTGAGAGCAGGTTTTGTCTTCAACATGGAATGGCACAGTCTGCAGGGGGTCGTGGTCTCTGCCTTCAATCGCTGAGCCTCCAGGCCTCCGAGTCCGAAGCTCATCAGACCATTTCGGACGACGGCATTTGGGGATTTTGCGAGTCGGGCTTCGAGCCCTGCAAGAAAGGCTGCCCCAGGCGACCTCGCACATGAGGGTCCTTTAATTCCTGGTGGGGATGCAGTGCGCCACTCTTAAGGAATGCGGACCCTCACATGGGGGCCCCAACAATGGAGAACTACCCATATGCTCTGATGTTGCTCTTCCTTCAAGCATCAGCCTGGCACTATTTTCGCACTAGCAGTTCATGCCTCGCCACCATATCAGACACAATAGATGCCGCTCCAGCATTGCAAAGCCAAGGAGAAGCGCCAGGCACTGCATTTCTTGAAGCGGGCATGTTGCTTACGGACTTGCGGACAGTTTTTTTCGGCTCGGGCGCAGTGGTGGACTTGGCTGCAATCGAGTATAGGCTTATGTTCGGATCGGCTGGTTTGACAGAAGTCGCAAGTTTGAGTGGAGTTTCATCAGCAGCGCAAAGAGCGCAAATACAGGTGCCGGGACGGTGTCAACCTGATACCGAAGGGTGCCGAGACCCTGCTGTTTTTCATAAAGCCATCCTCAGTACAAGGAGCTGCTTTAGTGGTTATGTTTGAGTTTTCCAAACACCATTCTGAGAAGCTCCTCTCTGAAGTATGTGGGGCCAGCGGCTCAGACAGTAATCCCTTCAGCACAATTTCAGGGTTTAGGTTTTAGGGTTCAATTCATGAATCACCATGTTACAGGCAACCACCGTATTGCTACTGCCTCCCTGTACGCCATGCAAGCAGTCAGAATGAGCCGCATGGTCTCTGCCGCAGATCCACATCGAGCAGCGCGAGGATGCGATGACGGATGCCGTTCGGCAGATGCACGCGCCATCCGACTGGAGTTTGCAAGACTTTGCCCGATAAGCTTAAGCCATGTAACAAATGTAAGGTTACTGCACCAAGCTCCGGAAGATCGGAAAGTCGCTGGTTACTTTTGTGATTCTGATTGGTGCTAGCATTGCTGTTGTTCTTAGTTGTTGCGTTTGTTTTTTTTTTGGGCCATGCTGAAGCAGTTGGAGCAGAGGAGATCTGCGAGCCGTTGGAACCTTTCTACTCGGCCACAAACCCTACATTATCCCCAAATAACCTACGCCTCCAGGAAACAAACCCTAAACCCTAAACCCTATGAAGGACTTGCATCACCCGGAAACCCTAGTAAGGAAACCTGGAAAGGCAGTTTTATACGGTTCAGGTACACCCTTTATTGCAAAGCATCCAAAAGCCCCGGAAGCAGCAAGAGGCCAAGAGCTCTTTTTTGGGCCTTACTAATTACCTGTACTACTTTTGGGGGTTCCTTATTATGAGTCTAGTAGAATATTCCCCCAAATCTATTTATATATTGTTAAGGCCCTGTACAGCAACCATTGAAGTCTGTGACCATGGAGGCCTTTGACCCTAGACGCCCTATGCGACACAAAACATTATGCGGTGAATCCTTAAACCCGACAATCCCTGTGTAAACCTAAAGAGCAGATAGTATGGAAATAAGACCATAGCCCTTAGCAGCCATCTACACCGAACAAAAAAACAAAGATCTAAAGCGCTAAACTCTGAACTCTTAAAAAAACCCTGAACCCTAAGCCCCAAACCCCACCTCCTGTTCCCAAAGTACCTATCTAGGGACTACTTTAAGGCCAAAGTATTACTATTTGGGCACATGAACCTTTAGGGTTATAACTACAAGATCCTAAACCCTAAACCCTAAAACCTAAACCCCCAACCCTATAAACTCTAAACCCTATAAGCCCTAAGCCCAAAGCCCAAAATTCCCCAGTTCAGGCGCCTACTTCAGCTGCGCAGCGATGCGGCGATTGCGACTCGTCGCCTGGAGAAGGCGGTAAAAAGTCTTGAGGTTCTTAGGGCTTGGGGTTTAGGGTTTAGGGCTTTAGGGTTCTAGGGTTTGGAGTTTCGGATCTATAGGGTTCAGGATTCTTAGGGTTTGTTTAGGGCTTTAGGGCTTGAGGGTTCTAGGGTTCTTAGGGTTCTTAGGGTTTAGGGTTTGCAGTTTCGGATCTATAGGGTTTAGGATTCTTAGGGTTGTAGGGTTTAGGGTTTGTAAAGTTTGGGCTTGTGGGGGTTTGAAGTTCGGGATCTATAGGGTTTAGGGTTTTTAGGGTTTGAAGTTTGGGGTCTCTATAGGGCTTTAGGCAGGTTTATAATTTTCAGGGTTTGAAGTTTGGGATGTGGAGGGTTTTGGGGTTTTAGGGTTTGAAGTTTGGGATCTATAGGGTTTAGGGTGTTTAGGGTTTGAGATTTGGGATCTACAGGGTTTAGGGTTTTTAGGATTTGAAGCTTGGGATCTATAGGGTTTTAGGTTTTTAAGTTTTAGGGTTTGAAGTTTGGGATGTAGAGGGTTTTGGGGTGAAGTTTGGGATCTATACAGCGTATTGTGTCTTGAAGTTTGGGGTGGAGGGATGGTTAGGGTTTGGGGTTTAGGCATGTTTGGGGTTTCGGGCTTATCTCCACGTCAAGGCAATCGCGGGTATGTAGCGATGCGGGCCTTGCAAGAGTGGATGTTTTGTAACGGAACGCCGTTTCTTAACAATACTGGGCATTGAGGCCATCGCCGGGGGTAGTTTTGGGCGCGAATGCTAAGGACATTAGGAGCTTTGTTCCTGGTGCCTTGGAGATCCTGGAAGAGGGGAGTTCCCTAGGGCCTAGGGATCCTTGGACTTTGATGGGTCGGTGTAGGGTTCGGGGTTTAGGGTTTAGAGTTTAGGGTTTGGTGTAAGGTTTGTAAGTTTCATGCTTAAAGGGTTGACGGCCGTTAAGCGATACTACTTTGATTGGAAGTAGTCATACTGTTGCGCATGACGCCAGTTAAGTGGTGCAGACGCAGCAGCTCCTACTGTTACAATTAAATTGCTCTCACTATTACTATTACCAACACTAGTATTGTTACTACTATTACTAAGAACATTGGTAGGTTAGGCTACTCAACAGATGGGCCTCTCACTGGCGACCTGTACAAGAGCGCACAAAGTTGGACCGGTTCGTTCAATGAGAGAAAAAGGTGTAGGGTTTGTTCTAAACCCCTAAACCCTAAAGTGCAGTTCAGGAGAGAAGGGTTTGCGAACGGAATCCGTGAGGTTTGGTTTGTGTCGCTTCGATTTGGTGCGGAATGATGGATCTCCAATTGCAGCCCCAGTCTTATCTACAGAGCTGTGGATGCGGGCAACCGTAGTTTGCCGTCTTCGGTGAGATGATCGGGCTGCAAGCCGAGCTGCAAGACACCAAGTCTCAGTCTCGGCGTTCGGCATCAAGTAAGATTCGTTATAAAGTCGGGACAAAGAGCGCAGAGGTTTGCTTGAACTTTGAGGGCTTTAGTTTAAGACCTCTTACCAAAGCAATCGCCAGTTGCCGAGTGCGTTCATTGCTGCTTTTTGCGCCGTGATGGGCAGGCCCTCTACATCCGGGAGCAGCGGAACAAGGCTGGCGTCACGTTCATGAAGGGGGATAGTTGCTTAAATTTGGCGGCACATAGATGGAGAGAGCAGGATCGTGTTTTGCTGAGACAGCAATGCGCTCCTTTGCAGGAGTGGAACAGTTACCGTGGCCAAACCCGAAAGCCCATAGCCTGAAAGCTGTGAACTTGCAAACTCCTCCTTCAAGGTTCCTGGGCAGTTTCACATGACAGAGGTAAATAAATACCTTATTCGAGGGTATGCCCATGTTCATAGAAAAAACATCTAGTCGCAAGACCGAACTACGTTGAAACAGCATTGAGACTGCACTGGCACTTAAACAGCTTTCGCTAGGAGCATGCGGAACCATTCACAAACAGTGGTATGCGAAAACATTCAACATACTGGTATTCAAAAACACAGGCCCCGGGATCGGCCCTTTTGTATTAATACCTGTTTCAGCTGAACCCAACTTCCAGCCTTAGAAAACTATCACGAAGAAGGGTCCTTGTACCCAACTAGTATATACTCTGCGGGCCCAAAGTACCTATATGACATAAAGGGAGTACTTTATGGCCAAAGTATATACTATTCGGGTACAGGGGCCTTAGGGTTCTTTTTGGTAGCCTTGAAACGATGATGGAAGCCCTGCCCCTGGAAGATGAAAGAATCTGTAGGCCCTGGCCTCTCGAAGACGACCTCTGGGTTCACAAACGGCGCTCCACCGGAAGCGAATCTTTCGGGCGCCACGCACGATCCTATCTGTCCTGGTCCCCCAAGCACAAAACCCCTTGAGCCTAAGAGGCACGGGAAGTCGGGAGGGTCAACAGCAGTTCCTGGGACAGGGCGCGATTCACAGTTTTTGCTATAAGATCATAAGCCCCAAAACCCAAAACTCCCCAGTCCATGTACCTACTATTTGGGGACGTAGACCCTTACCCTAAACCCTAAACCCCTTAGCCCTAAACCCCCAAAACCCCAAACCCCTAAACCCTGAACCCTAAACCCCTAAAACCCTATAAACCCTAAACCCAGGGTGTTTGCAAGTAAGTACCCATAGGCCCCTAAGTAGTTCCTTTTTGGGATTACCTTATAGGATTCTAAATATAAACCATAGAAGGAATTACTTAGGGGCCCATAAGTTTGAAGCTCCGAGTGCATCAGGGAAGCAGTGCCTGGCGGAAGCGGAAGGCCCGGCTTTCTCAGAGGGCTACGGTTTTAGGGGTTGAGGGGTTTAGGGGTTTGGGGGGTTNNCCGCTTTCAATGTTGGGGCCTTGGTACTTAGACGCAGTATACTTTGGGGTTTAGGGTGTAGGGTTTAGGGTGAGGGGTTTAGGGCTTAGGGTTTTAAGGTTTAGTGTTTAGGGTTTAGGATGAGTCTGAGGCTTTTGGCAATTGATTTGGATTCTTAGGACTTAGGGTTGCAGCTGGGGCTAGGGTCCGGGATTGAACTCAGGGTTCTGCATGTAGGGTGAAGTAGGAATCATAGCCGGCAGAGTTGAAAACTTCGTCGGTCGAAGTATAGTTTGCAAACTTGTTAGAGCATAGCGAAAATCATAAGGCCGCAGCCAGCAAAGCAGCCTCTGCTTGGTGCCAACTAGGCTTCAACCCTTTGCAAGTCGCGAGCTTGCATTCATTCCTGTGCAAGCCCAGCCCGCCATCGCGTCTCGTGCAGGTCCACTAGTAATATACTCGACGAGGGTAGCTGGTCACAACGAACCAGGCAGCAGTCGAGTGGTAATCGTGACAGAACCCCAATTGCAGGCAAAACGATCGTGACAATTGTCCAAACTGACGGCTTGCACGCCAACCACAGTGCTTGGCACTTGAAAAACCCCCAATAATACAGTGAAATATAACATAGCATGGTTCATGATATGTACTAACACAGTATAGTGTGATATAATATAAAGAAATATAAAGACTCTTCATACTTAGGCGAACCTGGCTTGGACCCTAAAGCTCGGAACCGCAAAGACCCAAACACAACACCACAAAAGCTGAACCACGACACAAAAGGCTCCGGTGTCCGTGATGATTGCGTCGTCCTTCGGCTCTGACCAGTCAGAGGCCTTTCATGTCCCCCTTAACCCCTAAACCCTAAATTCTTCAGGGGCGGGGGACGTTAATGGCTACTTCTGGGTAGAGTGATGAGTAAGCGAGCAGATGCAGCTCTCAAAAAGTTCGCCGAAAGCTTTCCTGTGTTCCAGTTCCCGGCTGCCGGCACTGAAGCAATTTGCAACGAAACTAGTTGGGGATTTCGTTGGGCATTCGCTTTGCCTTTTCGCAAGCCATCGCTCGTCGCCTGCGGTGGTTACGTGTGTCCAGGGGCCTGCACCTGTACTGCACCAACAGTCCCCATGCACACGCTCAAACTCCACAGCTCTTGCGGGGTCGGATCCTTTCATGTGGACAAAAGGAGATGTGTACCTCAGTATGTCCGCTAGCCATTCATAGGGATCCTAACATTCCAAGTGCTCGGGTTCGCGGCATCGGGTGGAATCGTGCCAACCCTGCCCAAGTCTTCACCCCTAAAGCCCAGACTCGAAGTCCTCAGCCCTACTCTCTCAACTCTGACCCTTCAATCTGAAATATCTTAATCTCTTTAACTACCAACAAAAAACCCTCAATTGTCCACCTAGTTGTTTTAGACCACGGCTTGCGTCTCCTTCTTCACGCGCCAGTTTGGGGCTCCGACCATGGAGCTGGAGAAGCTTAGACTGTCGACTACTACCTGATTGAGTCTGGATCGAACACACGGGCAAGTAACATAATTTCATTCATCTGTGTACTATGTACGAGTTTATGTACGTATGAGCGTACATACTTCGGTATGTATGTATGCATGTGTACGTACATGTATATTTGTATATGTGTATAGATATGTGTGTAATATAGATGTATTCACGTATGTGCTCGCAGAGATAAATAAATAAGTAAATAAATATACATAAATATATATATATATGTATATGTGCGAGCACATACATGTCTATACGTGTGTATATATAGATATATGTTTATCTGTAATATATATATATATAGATATCTATCTATCTATCTATCTATCTATCTATCTATCTATATATATATATATACATATCTATATATATATATATATAGATATACCTACCCACACACATGCTAATGTATGTTGGGGTAGGTAGGTAGCCAGGCAGGTAAGCGATGGATGGATGCCTGGATGGCCAGCTGGCTGTCTGACCGGCTGGCCGGCTTGCTAGATGTACGTATGCATGCATGCATGTTTGCTTGCATGTATCATGTATGAATGTATGCGTGTGTGTGTGTGTGTGGGGATACAGTATACATTTTACATGCTTGTTTTTTATTTTATTTTCGGGTGCTTGTGAATTTCAGGTTTACAAATGACGGATCCGTAGAACGCGTGTAAATAGATAAGTAATGTATATATATATATATGCACACACTACATATGGAGAAGGCGTATAGACAGTCATGCATCAAGATGCGAAAAGTACGTGTATGCGCTTATCATACATATATACATCACTATCTATCTATCTATCTATCTATCTATCTATCTATATATATATATACATATATATATATACATACACATCCATATGCATACGCTGATGTTCGGTGTTGCCTCTGCAACATCTGAGACGCATCTTTCCAACTCCAAGAGTTTGGCAACGGCGAACATAGGTGTGACAGGGATAGTGAAGGGACTTCGATCCAGGTTCATCTGGCACAGTGGCCAACATAGCAGATCCAATCGAAAGCATCCAGCAGATGTCCGAAACCGTGTGTCCTGCTGAGCCACAACGACTAGTTACAGTCAGCAGCGCCCAAACATTCCTACATGGGTGTCGAAAGTTTATTAATCTCGGACAGGAGGTTCTCATCTACAGTCATTCCCGGATGGATCAAATTAGGCAGATTCTGCGGGTGCCATCGCAGAACAGAAATATAGAAATGAACGTTCCAGTGCACAACCATGGAACTGAGCAACCAGGGGTTTTGTTCTCCGTCCTGGTTCCTGTTAGGGTCCTTTTCCATATTGAGCCAGCAGTAGGTTAAGTAGGGACCACAAGGATGCAGTTTAAAACAGACCGTGTTTACTATGTCACAAATGCGGGTGAATGTTTGGCGACATTTTCCAAGCATCGTATCACTGCCCCTTGCGGCCCAATGCTGGATCATGCTTTCTGTTTCGCCACAGTGTCCTGCACATAGCTGGTGGAGTTTCACAGCCTGCGGCGTGATGTTTGAAGCGACGGCATTATCAGTTGGGCAAGAGCACGTATTTGCCATCACCATGAACCCTGTGACATTACATACTAGTAAGTGTGTGTGAAACCGAGCATCGAACAAGAGTGTGCTGCACGAACCGCGAGTGAACCTCCCACATTTCGTCGCGTTTTGCGAGGTTTGGCTGCAACGTGTCTTTTAGGTTGAGTCAGGACAGCTAGTGCAGATGACTTGGTGCAGTGTTGATGAGACCTATCATAACTTATCTCTGCTGGACTATGGACACGAACGTTTGTCATGGCCCACCTTGCACCACATCTCCAAAGGTCCGCTGAAATGTGGCGGAGCTTTGGGTAGTGAGGCGAAAGCTTGTCTTGAGAAGAAGGAAGCAGGGTTTTTGCACAGACTGCAGAAGAGAGGCAGCTGTGGCTGCTGAATAGTAGATTATAGTATATTCTGGTATGTTCGTGTATGTTACAGTATATTCTAGTATATTACAGTATAGTAGTGTGGTATATCGTAGTATACATAGTACATTATTTATTTTGTAGTATACTAGAAAACATCGAAGGAGTCTAGAAATTCTCGGTCTCCTTAACACGTCCTGCAAGACCCAGGTCTGACTATGGACCTGGAAAGTCGTAACATACTCTTTCAATATAGTCCTGACTGACTTTCAGCTTCTGCTCTATGCCGCTTTACAAGTACTAGTAGCTGGCATACTTCGAAAACCACTACACCCTTTTCGAACGTTTTGTCTGGTACATTCAAGTTGCGACAATGGTGGCTTGTTGAGTTGGGTTTGGTATTGCTGTACTGTATGTTCTGCATTAGAGGATGGCGGGTTTCGAGGGTTTGCATCAAGGTAGGTTATCGTTGTCACATGTAGTTGCCAACCGAGTATTTCCGTTCTGAGGTTCCATAGCTTGTCCCGCAAACTCTGCGGGAGTTACCCCTCACCTACAGCCATGATCCCTAAGAAAGGCGCAGGTGTCCGAGTCCAGTTTGTAACCTGGGGTCAGGCTCCAATGGAAGACCCTACACGGCCAGACTTTCAAACTGAGCCACATGGAGAAGTTGCACTGGCCACGCACACCTGCACAAGATGGGGTGCATGCTCTCATACATATTATATATATATACATACATACATACATACATACATACATATATATATATAGATATACATATAGCTTGCACAAAGTTGATGTATTTGTGCAGAGATACGCGTTACATGAATGAATATATATATATATACACATAGGGAAAGACATACATACATACATACATACATACATACATACTCATAGGTGTGTGGAAGGACATATATACGCGCTTGTCTTTAAGCTTGTGCATTTGCACATGCTTTGGCATACTTAACACATTTGACGACGGAATCTTCATAGCTCTGCTCCGTAGCATCGCTGCCCTGCGAACTGAACCTACTAGTGCTCGATCTCGACCCCTCATCACCGGTGTCGTCCGGGAATTGTTATCAACATGCCGTCGTCCTGAGCCTCTGCATAGAGCATATAGTCGAAGATCAACTTGATCTCAGCAAGGCGCGCCAACGTGAGGAAGAGTCAGTTCTCTCACGCCAGCACGCCTTGCAGGCCGGCTGCAGCACGATGGTAAACACAATGTTTTGGAGTTTAGCGGCATTATTTTGTCGTCGGTCTGGGGCCGGGAGGCAAAGACCACGAAATACAATTTCGTTCCGGAGCACCCGTTCTTTTTATCTGCACCCTGCTTGCTGCCTGAGACAGCGATGCCGATAAGTGTCCAACACGCATGTGACACATTTGCGGCTGTTGATGCTTACTTACTTAAGAGTGCTATGTGTGCCAAGAGTCTGCCCACGATTCCTGACAGGCGGAGAAGGAAGAAAAACAACGCCAAAGAGCGCAGGCCGCGTGGAGCCTTAGCAAATGCGGGTTGAACGAGGGGCAGTCTCAGCAACGGCGGCGCCACCAGCTGCCATATCGGCATTCTGGATAGTCATTGCATGTTCCTTGCGTCCTCATTTCCATCCCATGCCACTTCAGGCCCCTCAGCACGTCTTCACCGCTTGTGGGCCGAAACAGCGAATGAGGTTTGATTACTGCTAGGGCATCTGGTCCTGCATGTAGTGCTTAGGAGGGCACTGCTCGAGAAAAGGTATGCGCAGGTAGCCGATACCGTGCAGCGTGCACGAAAGCGTGAACGCATGCTGATAAATCGCCGGTCGCGGTTTGACCAATCGAGTTGCTCCCAAACCCGGAGCCCCTAACCAATCACGCCCCAATGCGCTGAATCCTTCACTGAGGTGAAGCAGCTCAGCAAAGAGTTTGCAGAGCAGCGACGGCCTCAGAGCCAAAGGCACGACTTATTAGAGTAGCCTGAATACTTAATACTCGTATTCCTTGGGCTTGTCATGTATACTTGTGGGTAATATACCCCTGACACCCTAGTTGTATTTTTCAAGGCCTCCATATCGCTAGCAGCAGATACTACTGTTGATGATACAAATCCTGCATTGCCTTAAGGACCCTAAACTATGGGAATTTTGGTATATTCCTTATTATGGGTAATGCAGGATCTATATCATCAACCACCATCATCGCCGACATCAGAACCGGTCATCCTGGCTGCCATCCTTTCCGCCATGACCACAAAGATACTGGGAATCACAAGACCGGTACTGTCCTTGGTGTGGTGGCAGCACTATTAATATTGTTGTTATTATTACTGACATTAAGTTAGCATCAATATTATTGTGAATAAACAATAATGTAAAACTTAATAGATATATTGACACTAATATAGCTGGTTTTAGTATGATTATTATCAGGATTCTTGTTATTTTGACTATTACGATGTTGTCATGAACAAAAGCATTATTCTGGGTATTGTCGTTGATACGATCACCAATGCTACTTTCAATTTAGTGTCATTTACCTCACATAGTTACGAGCAGCAGCAGTCGGAGTAGCGCTATTCGTCGTAGTGGTGTTTGTAGCAACGGTGTGGGGGAAATGGGCGCTCTCTGCCCCTCTTTCGCTCTCTCCGTCTCTCTCTCGCTCTCTCTCTCTCTCTCTCTTTTTCTCTGTCCCTTTCTTTCTCTCTCTCGCTCTCTCTGTCTCTCTGTGTTTTTGACACAACCGAGTAGACCCCCCCACCACAAACAGACCCTGCAGCCTGAAACCTGAAATGACGTGGATCTCAAGGCCTGGCGCCTCCAAGACCTGAAATCCTAACTCATGACGCCCGACCTTCGAGCCCCTTTGGACCCCAAACCACGAGAGCTGAGAAAGCTTGTTGAAAGCAGATGCGGCGGCAAACCCCTATGCCTAAAGCACAACATTAAACCAGTATAACTTACAACTTACGACGACTAAACAGTGTCCTAGGCCAAGGCCTTCAGCCTGAGCCCAAAATGCCAAGAACACGGTCTCTTGAAGCCGCCAGCGCGCATGCACCGGAAAAGCCAAGGCGCAAGGAGCAGCAACAGCGGCTACAGGACAGCGTCTCATGGTGTTGGTTTTCCTTCTTTCGTGAAGTTTCAGGCTAGTCAAACCTTAAACCCTAAACCCTAAACTATAAACCTAAACCGTAGTTCAATCATTTAGGTTCCGGAGTTCAGACCTGAGCTTCGGGGTAGGAGGGCGTGCAGTGTTGGGTCATGCATGTTGATCTGTGTCGTGGTAGTGCCCAGGATGAACTACTGCCTTCAGCGAACAAGAAACTCAAAGTTTGGTTTGTACCTGAGACCAGTATGCATAGATATTCGCATGCGTCTGCGTGACTGCATGCAATCTGCATGTGCTGTGTGTGTGTGTGTGGAAAGTTATATGTTATTCGCATGTATGCATGCGTGCATGTATGTGTATGTGTGTACATTCACATACGGATGCCCGTGTGCATATATATATATACACACATGTTACAAGCATGCACATATACACGTGCACACGCATGCGCGTGTGTGCACATAAGCCAGCCATGAACCCAACACGACACTGCAAAAACAACACGTACCAGGAGGAGGCTTTACACCGAGAGCAGCGAGAAGTCGAGGCTCGTCTCGTGCGATGTTGGGCAAAGGAATGGCGAGAAGTTTCGGATGCAAGTAGGGTTTCAGGGTTTGGTGGTCTGCAGTAAGAGTTTGCAGGTCCACCGAGGACCGAAGTAGCTTACAAATGATGCCGGCCATCCGGTTTGTTGCTTTTCCCTTGTCTCTTGGGTCTTTCAGACTTGCAGCTTCCCGGCGGGGTGGTAAACGTGCTGGCATTTGAAAACCAATTCCGTAAGCCCCCAGATCCCCTTATCAATTATTGCCTCCGTAGGTCCTTTCTGCAAAGCTGGCCTGTTTGATGCAGCGTCCCACCCCACTAGAGACCCCCGAATACTATCCCAACAAAGATGCCAAATATACCTGAGACATGAGTTCTTGTTGACCCGGGTTGTCCGATCCTGGTCGAGATTGAGGTTTGGGCTTGGTGTCAAACCGTTTTCCGGGTTCGGGTTCCATGAACCGCACATACTTTTCGAGCCAGTGCGGACCACGGAAGCAACACTGTCATCTACCAAAAATCGACATGCGGCCCGCAGCCCTATGTTGAATAGCCTGGCCTCGTATCACTTACTTAACTCAAATGTGTTGTGGCAACACGTGTCCAAAGCAGCAGCTTGCGCCAAGAACTCAAAAACGGATCCATGAATGCACGAACGAGGGTCGTTGCTTCGGAGCCCTAAGCAATGGTAGCACTACGAGCAGTTTGCTGCATTCGCCAAAAGATATGACAAGGGAGGTAAAGGTAGAAGCTTGGACAGCTTTTTGTAAGTCGCTTATAGGCTCGATAGTTTCGCTACACGAGCTAGGGCCAAAGCATGCTATAGCTTTAGGGTTTAGGGTATCTAGGGTTTATAGACATCTCAGACCATCTTTGCCTGAACAAGCAGCAACTGAAACCCGGTGGGCATCCAGCGATGGTGTCCTGCTACAGCTGCGCCTCTGGCATTGGTGCTTGGTAGCTTGACCTGCATCTTACTAAGGGTTTCTGGGCCGTGTGGGGGTGCGGGTTGCCGACCTTCTTGCTTTTTGCTTTAAGATACACGTGTCAGGCATCATGTATATCTGTCACTCACAGAGTTAATTCTGGTTTCGCATCATGTGTGTTCCCGTTCCAATGTCAACCCGCATCCAAGACAGCGGGCCCACATGCTAACGCAGGGTCGACACATCAGAGCGTGTCCGACTTCAGAAGCCTGCAGTCCACACACGCTTTCTTCAGCACAGCACATGTTCAGGTTTGACTTACAGGTTGCAGAGCTCGGGGCAGTAGAAGAACCTTCCGATGGGACATAGAGGCTTCCGAGCTGGGCCGCGGCTGCACGTCGGCAGCATCTGCGCGACAGAACACAATCCTGGGAGAACAAGGAGGACGGCCCAAAACATGCTGTCGGCATGCTAAGTGTGTAAGTTCCCTGGGGCCAGGGCTCCAGGGAGCTGAATAGTAGTTAGTCATACATATAATCCACACGTATTCCGGTAACTCGCCATTTAGGTAGCTGGAGCCCCAGGGTGGAGTTGGACCTACTCGCCGTTTCATGGAGCAGAGGCCCCGATTCCTGCATGCCAGTTTCTGCGGCCCCAGCATTGTGCAGTAATTTGGCATGATGTATAAGCTGCGAGGTGCTTGTTAACTGTGACAGTGCCCGGGATTATCTGGGGCATTCTCCACCTGAGTTCTTGGAGCAGCAGACCTCAACCCCATTCGCAATCTATGAAGCGGTACACTCTAACTCCACGCATCGAAGCCTTTCGGGTTGTGCCTTTGAGGAGGACGACGGTCGAGAAGTGTGCCTTGCCGGCGACGTGGGGTGCTGGGGCTCGGGTAGACTTCACGTGTTGGCGTGTTTCCCGAGGTCGTTCTGGTTCATGGCCTAAGGCTTCGGGCCTAGGCTATGTGTGCAATGAGTGTAGCACTCTGCTACAGCCGTCTGATCTCTCCGTTTGAGTGATCCGTTACTTCACCAGGAAGCAAGCCCCTGCCCTTAAACCCTTCTGCCACGAATCCTGAAAGTTTTCACCTTGACAGGCGGGCATTAAGAGAGCGACCATCATCACCACCTTCACCACCACAGACATCAGCATAATCACCACAAGCCTTGCTGCAGGCTGTAAGCTTTCAAGTTGCTTGGTCGTTGCTCTTCCGTCGACTTCTACGGCTGCTGGTACTCGTACTGCTACTACTAGAGCAACGGCCACTGCTACTGCTACTGCCGCTGCTGCTTCTACTGCTTCTACTCACCGAAGAGAAACCAAGCAGCGAGGCTCCTCGGGAAACTCCATGCCTTCGGACTTCGCGGGGCGGCCGCCGTGCGCGAGGCCGCGGCCAAGCAGGTGAGTGCGGCCTTGGAGGCCTGGTTTTTTCGGTTCTTAGGGGGAGGGGGAGGGGGAGGGGGAGGGGGAGGGGAGCAGGGCATTTCCGCGTGTTCTCGAGGTCTAGATGGCAGGTGTTGCTGAACTTTTGGGGTCTCTGCAGGTTCCAGAATCGAGGATTCGTGGAGCATTTTGCTCGGGTTTGAGGAGTCGGTCTGGGGTTTGGGGCCTAGGAATCTACGGAGGGTTCAGGATTAGGACTTTCGCTGGCTTTGTCTCTAAGTTCTTTTATATTTGTTTTTTTGGGGGGGTTCTCACACGGGATGTCGGAGGCTTCTCTGGAATGTACAACCTTCAGGGCTCGATGATCAGGGCATGTGTAGGAACACAGATTGAACTATACATGTGAGCGCAGGGTGCTTATAAAGGCTATGTGCACTTGACATCCACCTGAGTCTGCGACACCACCTTAAAGCTTGGTATTTAGATGCTCGGTGGTCACGGTCAGAGTATCCAATCCTTCGGGCGACCTCCTGGCGATGTGTAGCAGCCGGGGATCATGGGCAAAGGCTGCTGATACAGGGGCCTCATTGTCACCATTACTATCCTGGGGCTGCTTATCAAGACTTCTGTATACCATACCCCACAGCCGTATTCTAATTTCTTAAATCCTCTCTCTCATGTAGTTCCTTGCTCGGAGCCTTAGAGAGAGTGCCCAGCCAGGGAACAACGCAGGGATAAAGCATCAAAGGGTAGATGTTCAAGCAGACTAAGCCCCTATATTCGGGTAATTACGTTCTGACTCCTGAACGAAGCTCCCACAAACCAGTGTTGATGCTCCTGAGCCCCGAGCTCTATCTCTCAAGACTTGATTTCTGCTGAGATGCCAGTCCAAACGGTGCCGTGGGAACCTCCTCTTAGACAGTTGTTTTAATCCGGAGTACCTGGTTCAAGGTCCGTAAAATTTGGGACACGCTGGATTAGGGCCCTTGTAAGAAGAATCCCAGATCCTAAACCCTAAACCCTAGACCTGAACCTTCTGTTTAGGGTTCTTGCGAGTTCTGCCGCTTCCAGGACTCTGGGAGCAACTGGGAAGACCAGTGGCTGAAGTGGAGCCTCGGCCCTTGGCTCTTAGACATACTTACATACGGGGGTTTCCACCCTAATGTAGTACCCTAAATAGTAGGGTCCTTGCTATAAGGACCCCAAAATAAGGCACCCCTTACTATTGGCAACCCGCATACAGACATACATATACTTAGGGTCCCGGATCCCTGAGCCCTGAATCTGTGACCCCCAACACAACTCTATATCAATATATCCTAGAAGCCCTAAACTCCAATATCGCCTAGGAACTCTCTCATGGAGGTGGGCCACGATCTCTGGGCCAGCACCTTCCTTGCAAGCGGATCGGCGTTGTTTTGCGGTCTTTCCTGTAGCAAGTCAAGTACCAGATCTTGATCCTTGCCAGTCGCGCCAGAGATGGCGCAAATAATGTTCGGAATTGCGAGACAAGAGCCGGATATTCATAGTGAGGATAGTGTTCATGTATCAGCAGGTATCCATACTACCTTGGTACATGTGCTGGTCATGCTGCTGGTCTCGGTAGTCATAGTACTAGAGGTACCAGAAGCAGGTCAAACCACCTTTCGGTATGAGGCTAAACAAGCCTTTTGACGCTGCGAACTATGTCAGTAGGTCTTTTTGGGATACATAGGTCTGTTTTGAGGGCTGACGGCCATCCCAGGTGCCTTCCACTTGATGGAGTCGCTGCTGCAAGGTGTTCTCGTGCACCAAGGAGACGTGCGACTCTCCCGCACCCATAGTCCGGAAACAGCAGCAGCCGGTAGCAGTAGTAGGAGTAGTAGTGATAGTAGTAGCAGTAGTAGTAGTAGTAGTAGTAGGAGGAGGAGGAGGAGGAGGAAGAGGAGGAGTCGCAGTAGCAGTAGCAGTAGCAGTAGCAACAGCAGCAGCAATAGCAGCAGCAGTAGCAGCAGCAGTTGCAGTAATCAGCAGCAGCAGCAGAATCCGTAGCACTGGCACTAGCAGACTAGCAGTAGCGGCAGTAATGGCAGTGGTGGCACCAGTGCACAGTGACTGTGCTCATCTGCTGGGCTTTACTGATATTTCGGGGATGTTTGCCACTCTAACGGAATCTAACCTAAAACTGAGCCCAGGGCGACATCCTAGGAGCATACCGTACACAAGCTCAAACCTAGAAGCTCGACTTTTGAAGCAACGGCTGAATCCTCTAGACTTCCCCCATGCAGGCCAGTTCCAGCGGTATAGGAAGATGGTTGAAGGGTACTTGTGATCATTGCTCTTAAAAGCAAAGGTAATCCTGGGAAATCCCAGCACTAATCATCTTTATCCCGTACTCCGAGAAGGCTCATTTTTTTTTGGTGCGCTCGGGCTCGTAATTGGGTTCAATCTCTAGGGTACAGCACCTCGACGCTCTGCTTTGACTCTGTTTGCTCAGGATCCAGGGCGCGGAGGTGCAGGAAGATGCTCTTTGCTTCAAGGCGCTTCTGGTCGGAAAGGTTTATAAGGCTTTATATTATAAGGCTTCATGTGTAGGGCTTATAGGGTTCCTGGTGTTTGGCCCTGCAATTTCAAAGTGGAAGAAGTTTGTATCTTCGACCGCGTTAGCCCACATGTGCAATGGTTCCATGGAAAGGCCGACAAAGCCAGCAGTCTTCTTCCGCGAAAGTCACCTGAACTGATGGCACGTACACTCGCATCCGGAAAGCCATGCTGCAAGACCTAGAAAGCATATGCGGTTAGAAGTTTCCGTGCTGATTTCTCTGGCCAGACTGCATATGCATCTGTAGCATCCAGCCGACGTTTGCTAAGGGTCCGCATGGTATCTCACGAAATTTGCGATCCAGGGTCCCTAAGCCGTCCTCGTATCTACGTTCGTTTCTGGAGTTGGAAGAACTGTATAATATAAATATTAAATAATATTAAATAATATTAAATAATATAATATAATATAATATAATATAATATAATATAATATAATATAATATAATTGTCGATCTTCAGGTCCGACTCTCCGAAGAGCTCACCGGAGAGTTTGCCACGCGCTCACGCATGGGTGCCCAGATACGGCTCCAACGGGAGGCGGGCCGAGGGATCGGGAAAGTTGAGAACGAATGACATACCCGGATTGGGACAGCGATCCAAAGATCCAGATCGGACGTGGAAAATCGTTCAAAACGTGGCGGAGGGGTCACGACATGGGGCCATGAACGAAATGTCAGCGAGCTTCGTGCAGCATATACAACATGCATCATGAGGTGAGATTCGTCGTCAAGATGCCCGAGGAGCCACCGACAGTTGACCAAACTGTTTGTAGACTTGGTCCTCCTGGTTTGAGCGTCTCATCTTCCTGAATGATCGAAGTTTCGACCGAAGTTTTGTTCTCATGGCTCGGGACTCTGAGCTGCAAAGCTTGAGATGTTTGGAGTGTCTCAGATGTTGGGTGTGGGTGCTGTGTTGGGCAGAGCCTCATCACGGTCTGCAGTTCCCGACAGGTTCTTACGACATGTCGTTTCTTATCCGAAAGCTCAAATCAAAGTCTTCGACAGAGAGCCAGCAGTGCCAGCCGTATTCTTCCGCATGCTTCAAGACGCGGATCCTTACGAGCCTGTCACATCGAACCCTGCGCTCTGGAGGACTTCGTCGCCAAGCCGCTGGTCGTGGAGGTGGGCATGACACGAGATTGAACGATTGTCATTACAGACATACAGTGGGTTGATTGGGCGCTGGAGTACACGGTTTCAGAGGGTGGACTTTGCCAAGAGGAGCTTGACTCAACCCCGGGGAAAGACACCCACATGAGCTGTTAAAGCACCGTTCCTTGTTAGGTGGTGTCCTTGTAACAAAGGCCTCTAGGCCCGTTTTTGAGCCCTTTGAACTGCGACAGCTGACTTCAACGCTCGGCCCGAGACTCCACCCCAAGCGAGAACGAATCTGGAGCAGGTTCGGGTCTGCAGAATTCCTCCATCCCAGCATAGAGTCATAGAGACTCGGAAAGAGCCTAGGAATCCAACGCCCAAGAGCGAAAATGCCGCATGAAAAGCGATTCTGGCAGGTCTTCGGCCTTGACTTTCCTCCCCTGCCGGGTGCCGCTGAGCTTCGGGAGGACATCGTCAGCAAGCTTGGATGCCTGTCAGAAGCTGTGGGGAGATGGGGAAGGAGCCGCACGGCCGAGGCTTAAAGCTCAGGTTGATCTTCCGGTATTGGGCGGGGTGCAGGCCGCGGAGGGGGGGGGGCTGGAACCGCTGCCGTGATCTGTCACGAACTGATAACTAAACTACACGACACCGCCAAGACGTGAGACGGTGGCACACCGGGCAGCTTTGCAGAATGCATTGTGTATGCTTAGGAAATTTGTCTTGTATGTCTTAGCTGAACGTGGTTTGACCTCCAACAGCCAACGTGGCCGGCTGAACAGCATCCCACATCTGAAATTCCTCCAAGCCCAAGACGCCTCTTGAAGCAGTGCTTGGTCAGCGACTGAGGCGACAAGTTCGACAGAGCTGGTGCTTTCCAATACTGGGAAGAGCGCAAGGAGGACCTGTCCCGAGTTTGTTGAGATGCAAGGTGATGATGATGACGATGATAATGATAATGATAATGATGATGCTGATGATGACGATAATGGTGATGGCGATGATGTCCCAATTATTATGAATCTAGTTTTAAGAGGTTAAATGACAGCTATCATCGTCATGAGGCTCACCACTCCCATGCTAACCATCCCAGGTGTCAGCACCCTCATCCTCGTCATCATCACCATCATCATCAGCAAATCATCATAATCATCATCATCAACAACAACGTCTTAATAGTCATAGAATCTATCGCGGTTTTCAACCGTCGGACCGTGATCGTATCAGAATAAAATGCCGAAGCAGTATTGGCATCATTCCACGAATTTCAACAGTCATAGCTTCACACATTGCTATCTCCAGTTGAAGCTTTGGTAGCAATCAGGGATGTAGTGGTTGCACGCTCTGAAGGCCTAAGCATTTGTAGATCTAATATTCGGCGCCATCCTGGCTACTTACACTAAGTTTCTGTGCGCAGCTGTGGTTTGCAGGCCCTAGTGGGTGGGGGAAGATGATTGAGGAAATTGGGTCAATGGGTTGCATCTTTTTCGCTTGGCTCTTCTTTGTTTCAGACTGCTCGATCCAGGGCCGATGTACACCGGTGCAGGAGTTTCCTCTGCAGTCTTCCAAGCTGCGCCGCGTGCATGAGTCGCTGGCACAGTACTACCTGCCACCCGACGACAAGCAGCATGTTCTTTTGATGCGTCTCTCGGGCTCAAAACTTCCAACTCAGCTCCTGGACCTACAAGCGGCCATCTAGCTTTTTTATTCCAGATATACAAGTACGCATATGCACCTATGATCATATAAAGCATCAATTTCCCGACCTGGACCGAATGGTAACATCAGCGTTCTGCGGCGTTCCACCCAATTCTCAGCAGCTGCAACTCCCGCAGAAAATGCGACCAACTCAACACCCCCAAACCCTTGACCTCTAATAGAGGGGCCTTAATAATTGCCGATACTATTTGATTCCTTATGATGATTATAGTAAAATATCCACCAAAACTTCATGAAGGCCCCTACGTTACCAATACTCCCGAACCCCTAAATCCTGCAGCCTTGAACTTGCGGTCGGATTTTTCTGAATGAGGCTCCCTTCGGCTTAGGGTCTAAACATGTCTAAACGAGGGGGGGCTGTAGGGCTTTATACAAGCCACAGGCTCTATTATAAGCCCGGCCCGACATCATAAGCCTGAAACCCGGTCTGCGGCCAGTCGCGAGGCCGCAGTTTGCCGCTGAGAAGGTGGGACGTCTTTTAGGGTTGAAATCGATTTGACTCTTCATTCCGGGGTTAGAGGAGTCTAGCTTTAGGCGTTCAGTGTACGAGTAGTCCACATGGGATATGGGAGGAATTGCCTTTGAAGCCCACCCCGTCGAAATCAACCACTTGCGGAGCCTTTTCGAATCTCCAGGCATCCATGTTTGAAGGCTTGCGTAGCCAATCCTACACACGAAGCCCTGGGTTGGAGGCTTTCTGGGGCTACCTGAACGCCCCGCCTGGGGGCTGCTGTCTGCTCGGCAGTCTTCAATTCCATATCGAAGAAGAGGATTCTCGGAGAAAGGGCAGACGGTGTCTGAGGGCCCCGTTTATGATTGGGTGGGGCTGGGGGTACTAGTCACTAGACTTACTAGACTGTTTTGCACGGAGAGACCCAGGTGTTTGGGAGCTTCGGTGGCCGTAGGGACAGGGTCTGCGTTGTTGCTCAGAAGATCCTGGGTTCTGCAGAGCGGGGCCTGCATGGCTGAAGAGATGCGGGAATGTAGCGCAGGGCTTCTTCCGGCCTCCGGCTTTTGAAGGGTCGGATGCGAAGCAAAGGGTAAGCACGAGATGCTTGCTGTTTTCATGTGGGGGAGGGGGGGGGGTTCTGGACCAGCGGTGACCAACGTATATAGTCGGATGACTACCTCATTTTGAGAATCCCAGGTCCCCAGAAAAGAAATTTATGTAGCCAAGTCCGACGACTCTAGCCCGAGATCTGAAATTGCCGGGGAGAAGTTCCGAAATGCTGCAATGTCCTAACCAACTTTCCCAAGTGTCAGCTATTCACGATTCATGACCTCAATCTCAAAGAACGGCACTGTCCACCTCGAACTGGCGATGCGCGCACGTTACTGCCGCTGTGTTCCCAAGTGTCTAGGCACAGAAACATGATTACAAATTACAAACTTCACTATAATTTAAGGTATATATTCCTTATAGAACCCTTATATAGACCCTTATAGATCCCTTTACAGGGTCACAACCGGTCACCTGCACTTCTCCCGAAACGCTAAACCCTGCAGCATTCAATGATCAGAGTCCTGAACCTTTGACTTGGAGCCTTATCCTCCACTGTCAATGCTGCAATATGATACCTGGGTACAAGGCTAGTTATGGGTAGTTCTCTAAATTAGGGTCCCGTTTTGGGTCCTTTTTCATAAGGGTGCCGTACTATTTTGGGGACCTAAAAAGGGACCCTAATTTAGAGAACTACCCGCATGGTTGCGAAGGAAGTGCGTGTAACATCCTGCCGGCGACCAGCTCCCACAGAGAGCCTTGAGGAGCCGCCTGCGGGGTGCAATGTCACACTGTCTCACGGCTCAGCTGTTGTTGATTGTGATGGTTACGATTTACCATGATGATGATGGGGATGATGGGGATGGTGATGGGCATGGTGATGAACATGATGATGATGAACGTGATGGTGATGGTGGTGATGATGATGATGATGATGGTTGCGGTCATCATCATCACCATCATCATGGTGATTCTGATGACTGTATGCCTTTGGATTTTCTCAATGCTGATCCGGATTCAAGCAAGTTCAAGCACAGAGAGAGTCGCTGGGAAGCTCGACAAACCACGGCATCAGAACTCCGGGAAGATGCGCAGGATCTCTACGGTGTTTAAAGGTATTGTATGCTTTCCGCCAAGAAGCATGTCTCCATGTTCCTATTCATTGAGTTTTCATGCGAGACTGGAAGCAATAGGGCATCCTGCTTGCATTTGTGGCCTGGAGGCGCAGCTTGCGATCATTGACGAGCTCTGTGTGGAGGTGCTCACCTTGTGGTGCTGTGTGTATGTCGGGCTGGAGCACGGCCTCCGCCAAGATGTCTTTGATCCTTCAAAACGAGCTGGGACGCGATAGTGCATAGACTACCACTAGTAGTTTAATAGTCACTTCGTATGGTTCCTCTCTTCATGCATCTAGTCATAGAATCATGGGGTGGTGAATTTATTCACAGATGTCATCTACTTTTCAGCCAGTCTTGTCAGCCCTGAACAAGAATCTACGCTATGGCTTTTGCTCTCTATGGCAAAGAATACAAGATGTACCCTCCAAGCTGTAACCACGATTGCAGATTTCGGTCGGATCCTGGGGCTATATAACATCCACTGCACCTATGTCGTAGGGCTTTTGGGGTCCCAGCTTCCAGGAGAATTATCATGGGGCCCTTTAGTCCCCAACCCTAAACCCTAATACCCTAAAACCTTAACCCTAAAACCTTAGAACCCCAACAGAAAACCCTAAAACCCTAAAAACCCTAAACCCATGCCGGAGGTCCTTTTGCAGGATCGTTTCCTGGGGGAGCGCTTCGCCCCCTCGTCGATGAACTTTCTGGCCATGACGCACGGCCATGCAGCCGGACAGAAGCCTGGCCGAATCTGCTGCCTCGGTCTTTCTGGGTTTATGGATTCGAGGTTCAGGGGTTTAAAGGGTTCAGGGCTTCGGGGTTAAAGGGTGTAGAAAGCCAGCAACAAAGGACTCATGACTCGTAAGCTCAGCAGTGCGACGAGGGCCCGGGAAGAGGACCGGGAAGCACCGGCAGTGGCTTAGAATCGCGACAGTCTACAATGTAGATGTCATGGGTAGCTCTACAGACGAGGGTCCCTGCTGGGTCTCCCAAAAGAGTATGTCGCTCTTAGATCAAGGACCCCAGAAGACCCATGTTCGACAGCCCTTCGCATGTCAAGCCATGAAATTTGGTAAAGTGGCTCATAAGTAGTCAGCAGGAACAAACTTAAGCCCTACATTCAAATCCTGCGAAACCCTAAACCCGAACAAAAAGCCATAAGAAGAAGCCCTATAAGCGCGGAGCCTGAAACCAGCCTGAACCCTACAAACCCCAGATTTTTTTCAGCCCAAAAGAAAGGAAGGGAGCGGATCCGAAGAAGATCGCCAAGCTCCTGTCTGCTGCAGAGACCTGGGGTCCAGGCGGATCGGATTCTGTTCAGTCTATTTAGGTTTTAGGGTTTGGGGTTTATAGGGTTTAGGGTTTTAAGGGGTTTAGGGTTTTAGGGTTTAGGGTTTATTCAGGGTTTACTTAGTCCGTTTAGGGTTTGGGGTTCTGCAAGTGACAACACACAATTTAGGATGGGAGCTGGAGTCCCTCATGATCTGAATAGTTTTGTTTTTTATATATAGGATGTTGACAGTACCTTGCTGTGCTTGTGAAGTCCCAGGGACCTTACTGATTAGAACAGGCTTTTGATGTCCATTATGCAACATATACTGATACAAGAAGAAACTGGCGACTTGTTCGGAGAAGCTACGTACTATCTTCGAAGAGTCCCAAGGGTGGAAAGATGATCATCAGGATTCCGCGCTGTAGAGCTTCATGAAGGGATCGCTTGACGGTTTTGGGCCAGGGTTTCTTACTTGCCTGAAGCCCTCGACCATACTCTCTTCAGGCGACAGCGGCTGGACGCAATTCGACGAGACGTGGACCTGCACGGACGAGACACTTTGGCATGCTAGTGCGATGGATGCGCAAGCTTTGACGGGAATTGCTCATGAATGTCCTTGGAGAGTTGCTTGTTCCGGCACATGATGATATCACCGACTGCTATCGAACCTGTCGACTTTACATTCCCTTCCCTGAGCCGTGGATCCACAAAGGAAAGATGCCCTAAGCCCTATAGCTTGTACACCCAAAACCCCAACCAAGGAAAGATTGGTGGGGCAGGACTATCAGAGAGCAAGGACGCGTGATTTGGCACAAGCCCGGCTTTGAGCTCACTTGACGGAGGAAAAAGCGTCAAACGGGGGGGCTTTCGGCTGCGAGGGTTGGGGTGTCTTAGGGTTCAGGGTTTACGGCTTGGTAAGGTATCCCTAAACCCTAAACCCTGAACTCTAAACCCCCTAGGATTTCGGGCCGAGGTTTCATCTTGTGATCTTGCCGGTCTTGGGCCGGGAACCTTTCGAGCTCAGCTTTGAATGGAAGCCCCGGGTCTGAGTCCTGGCAGGTGCATTCAAATCACAACCCCTGACATTTTTCCGACCCTCCGTATCGATGAGTCTGTGTATGTATGTATGTATGTATGTATAACTAAACATGAATATATATATATGTATGTATGTGTATATGTATATGTATAATAGTATAGAAAAGGTACATAACAGACAGCATGTGGAGTTTCAATACGTCCATTTAGGACCTCGCTGTTGCACGAGGCACGCGCCAAGCGCATGGCGCGCAACGCAGAGGTCGTGTCTTTGCGACAGCGGGGATCCAAGTAAGTCTGGCAGACTTTCAGGTTTGCTGGTGTATATTGATGTCTTTTGCATCAACTCTGAATTCAATACTACTTGCTGCACTCAGAATGAAAGAGACAGACAGCCAGCCACGCAGGCAGACAGACATACAGGTAAGACGATACACATCACTGTTCATCCACCTGACTGGTAGGGACACTTCCGTGTGTGCGCTCTGCTTTGTCGTCTATATTGTGCCGAAGAATCCGTTTTCTGGTGAACTGGCAGATAGCTAGAGTGCAGGCTTAGTTTGTCGGAGGCAGAGAGTGTTGAGAGTTTACTTCCGGATTCAAGCCGAAACGCTGAAACTAGACCGGGTCATTACCAACATTATTCCTTAGGGCTCCTGTGTATAGTAGAAGTATTCCCCCAAAAATCCCGTTCTGATCATTCTAATCATTAAGGATTTACATCAGGGTTAGTTTGGCCCAGGCAGATGGACGAGCTCAAGAGGCAAGAGGCCGGGCCTACCCTTGATAATTGGGGCTTCTGCTGTGATAGGGGTTTAAGCTTTGTTTTTTTTTGACGAGGGGCTTTTTGGTGTTATGAGGGTTTAGGCTTAGGGGTTTGGGGAACAGGGTTTAGGGGTTTCGGGTTTCAAGGTTTAGGGGTTGGGTTGTTTGTTCATGGGGCTGAGAAGCCACACTCTCATGTCAGGCTGCACAGAAGCGGGTGGCTTTGGAGCAGGAGCCCGCGGCACGCTTGAGCGCTCTCTCTCTCTCTCTCTCTCTTTATCTATCTTTCTTTCTTTCTATCTACCTAGCTATCTAGCTATCTACCTATCTATCTATCTATCTATCCATCTATCTCTGATAGCGAGACAATAAATATATATATATATATATATCTGTGTGTGTGTAGGTAGGTGTATATATATATATAGACATATACATGTGTATATATATATATATGTATGTGTGCGAATGTGTATATCGCTCATATTCATGATTGGACAGACAAGAAGCTCATCAACCCGAAAGGTGCTGAGCAGCCCCTGAACTATGTCCAAGGCCGCCATAGTTCCTCGAATGTAATTCCATTCCAGAAACACGTCCAAACCCATTTCTACCACGACTAGTGACAGGAGAAGGAGGGGATGTCCTCCACCCATCGGCTCGCATGCCAGGAGCAGCTGGAACGGGCTGCAGCGCTGGAGAAAGCCATGGCTGGGATCCTAGCATCTAAGTTCGTAGGAACTGACGCCGAACCTGCATAATTCCACTCCAAATCGTCTGTCAAAGCAGCCAAGTCGGCCTACCGGCACCTTCCTCAGAAGTATATAGCACTACACTGCCAATACTTGTTCAATCGCTCGCCCGGTTAGCCTCTTTACACGCTGAAGTTGTTCAAAGAAGTGGTGGGCGGCCGGAACGCCAAGGCCACGAAGGTAGTAGGGCTTAGCGGTTTAGGGTTAGGGTTTAGGGGTTTAGGGTTTAGGGTTTAGGGTTTAGGGGTTTAGGGTTTAGGGGTTTAGGGTTTAGGGTTTTGGGGTTTAGGGTTTAGGGTTCAGGTATAAAAGTTATGCTAGAAGCTGTCCGCATCTTAAAACCCCACAGGTTCGCCATTGTAAATAGACTTTGCTTTTTTGGCCCGACGAAAATATCGGTTCAGATGTTGAACAATAGGGTTGAGGGCTTTGGGTTTAGGATTTATGCTAGTAGTCTTCACCGTGCTGATTCCTGCGGCTATCACTTCGGTTCTGTTGCTCTCGAGGCAAAACGGGTGAGGCTACTCTGGCAGCGATCGTTTCAGTTTTTGGGATTCCGGAGCTAGGCAGGTCGGTACTTACTTCGAGCCTGTTTCTCGAGATTCTCATGTTCTTGCTTGGGTTTTTGTTGTCGGGAGCACAGAAGGTCTCCATATCTTTGCGTCTTAGCGTGGGCCTTCCGTCTAAAGAAGCAGCAGCGTGAGCACTGTGGGAAGCAGCCTGCGGTGTGGTATCCGCTTCATAGCCCTGCACATATCCCACGAGCCGAAGCTTTGAGGAGAAGCTGAAGGTGGAGGCGCCACGGGACCCCGCGCGGCTGCACAAGGCCGTGCGTGTACTTACACTCCCGGAAGATGTCTTTCTGTAGACTCCATGCCTCCCCATCAGGCATTGCTGTCTTGCAGCCATGTTTGGGTATGGATTTTGTGAGGCTTGGAGGTTGTAGCAGGACGTTGCTCGGAAAGTGTGGTGCTCTGGTGGACACGGCCTTGGCAAGCAGTTGCTGCGACCACCTACACCTCAAACCCTGGATGGGCAAATTTGAGATGCTTACAAGAGAGCTTGGTTGTTTAAAGGGTTCGGAGCTCCATCATACCGCGACCCACAAGAAGCAACTACCACACACTACTCCTCCTCCGGCCGCCGCAACTGCTGCTGCTACACCTCCTGCTGCTACTGCTGCTCCTGCTGCTGCTGCTGCTGCTGCTGCTGCTGCTTACCAATACCCTTACTAGTACTACTACTACTACTACTACTACTACTGCTACTACTGCTACTAGTACTAGTACTACTACGCCTCCTACTACTATGACGACGACTACTACTGCTACCATCGCTACTACCACTGCTACTGCCACTGATACTGCTGCTGCTCCCCTGCTACTACTATCGCCACTGCCACTCTTCCCAGTGCTACGACAACCCCAAAGCCTAAACCCTATCAACCCTAAACCCTAAACCCTATAAACCCTATAAACCCTAAACCCTAGAAACCCAAAGCCCTATAAACCTCAAGACCGAAACGCTATTAAACTTTAAACCCTATAAGCCTTAAACCTATAAACCCTAAACTGAGCCGGCACATGAAGGCCCCGGCGCGGCTGTCTGCCGAAGCATATCTTGATCCGATGGTCTGCGTCACCCGGGGGTCGGGCCGCCTGTTTCGGGTGCCAAGGTTTGGGGGTTTCCAGGGCTTAGAGGGTATCATAGGGTATCATATAGGGCTTAATAATAGGGCTTATAGGGTATCATGTAGGGCTTAATTATAAGGCTTATAGGGTATCATATAGGGCTTATTATAGGGTTTATGGGGCATGTAGGGTCTAGGGCAGGGCGGGCAGTGTCACCGGCTTGGGGGGTGAAGGGTTTAGGGTGTAGGCTGTGCCTACACATCACTACCATTGCCACTGTTTTCTTTGTGATTGTTGTAGCTAGCTGCTGGCCGCTAGCCTTTTTGCACACATACTGGCAGGACTCGAAAGGCAGGACTTCGATCATCAATGGTTCGAGTGCTACTCCTTCGAATACTGAGTGCTTGGCATATGTTGTTATGGGCGTGGATTTCGGCTCGGGTTCCGAGCATGCATGTTTGTGCTGCTTGCAACCTACAAAGCTCAAGGTCTTATTGCTTGCAGAGATAGTTCAGGATTTCTGGGTCACATCACCTTCGCAGCTAAAACTAAACCAACAGCCGTGACATATCAGTCCAGTCGACCAGACCTACCTACCTACCGACCGACCGACCGACCGACCAACCCCGACCGACCTACCTACCTACCTACCTACCTACCTACCTACCTACCCACCCACCACCCACCCACCGACCTACCTACCTACCTACCTACCTACCTACCGACCTACCTACCCACCTACCTAGCTACCTACCTACATACGTACAGACATTTAACATCTAACACCTGTGCCATTGCATGTGTATATATATATATATATCTCTCTCTCTCTCTTTGTCTCTCTGTCTCTCTGTCTCTCTCTATCTTCACATCTATCCATCTACCCATCCATCCAGCCAGCCATCCATCCGTCCATGCAGAGAGGCATAGATAACGTGCAGAGGGACACATCGTTTACTGCTTTGTGTACTTGTCTCTGTATGTAGTTATTCGTGCGCCCAGTTTAAAACTGCTCACACTGTGGAAGAGAGAGGTTGCAAGGAATCCAGTGACCCAAGGCCGCATGCGGGCTTCGATGAGAAGTCCCTGATGGCCGATGCCAGATACAAGCTTTCAGCTGCGCTACAGGCCTTCCGAGCCTCTGTGGATAGGTCTTGGGATAGATGACTGAGATCTGATAGTGAGGATGCTAGATCGAAATCTTTAGTTTAGTGTGGTTCCACAGATAGGATTGAAATTGAAGCTAGAGATCGTGGGAACTTTGAACTTTAACAAATGCTTCACAAGGTTTTGTAACTCCCTCACACATACTTTTCTACGAAATCACTGCGAAGCAGCACCTACAGGCCCTTTTGAGGGCCTGAGGGAAGACCTTCCCCCTGCCAGGCAGCAGGGCTCTACGGGACAAGGGCAGGCCATGAGGCTTGGCCAAGGGTCGCAGGGTGTTCGTTGTAGGGTTTTGGGCTTCAGTGACTCATGCTTTCCGAAACTTAGGGTACCTTATTTTGGGGTCCTTATAATAAGGATCCTACTATTAAGGGTTTGACCATGTTTGGTTTGCTCCTCTGAAGCGTAGCTGTCGCGCTGCACAAGAGACCCGGCAAGAGCCCATGAATCCTATACGCCTCACCCCAAGACCAAGCTCCCCACGTTACACTCCGACTCCCCAAGCAGGTAGCACCTCCTTCGGCCATGTTGCATACTCCAAGCTCTGCACACTCGTGCTTCATATAGCCCCGCACCCTGAAACGCGAAGCCCACAAGCCGGGGAAGCCTAAGCCCTAAACCCTATACCAAACCCTATATATCTTCCAAACCCTATACCTTAAACCAATTTAAACCCTAGATCCTAAACCCTATACCTTACACCCATTTAAACCCTAAATCCTAAACCCTATACCTTACACCCATTTAAACCCTAAATCCTAAACCCTAAACCCTATACCTTCAACCCATTTAAACCCATGTAAACCCTAACTGGAAGTTGCAGGCACTCGCCAGGGTGGCAGCCCCAAGGCCTGCACAGCCCCACATCGTCTCCCAGGCACATGACTAGAGAAAAGGGGCCTTAATAATTAGAAGAGGGTTTTCGGGTCCATTATACTATAAACATAGCACGGAACCCCCCACAAGAATATGGAGAATTGTTTGGGCTCCTATAGTAGGCTGAGGGCATTTTACGGCCTTCAAAATTGGAGCAGGGGCTTTTGGGGAGGGGAAATGACACTGCAATTATGCAGGGAATAGAAGGGCGTATAGGTAATTTGTTCAGCTACCCCGGTTCGGGGTCCTATACCTACTTTGAGGTTGTGATTTCCGCAGTTGGGACGTTCGAGCGTTTGTGTTTTGGCTTACGGCGGTTCGGCTTGAATCTTGAGATCCGAGTTTCCAGCTAAAGGTGTGCGTGCGTTTCCCGAATGTATCTGAATCTGTGCATTGAAAGCAAGAGAAGAGCTTCCATGACAAGTGGTTTGATGGGCATCACAAGTGGAAAGGTATTCAAACCGTGGTTAGCAAGTCGTTTCAACTCATTATCATTGAGTGTGAGTACGAGGCTATTGAAGCAGGATTTCCGATCGAGTCATCGGTATCGGTTCCCAGCTGTGAGTTGGTATTAGATGCTCAGCTCATGTGGTGGCTGGTAGTAAAGATACGAACGTCATTAATTCGCATAAAACAAATCCTGAAATGATAGATCACTAATATCGTGGAGCTCCCTTGTACCGATGTTACGTCAGGTGTTCAACAGCGGGTACCCCATCGGCTGAATGCTTCGACTGGATGTTCGCGCAGTGCACCCCAATCAACTACTTGCGAGGAGGTATGACAGCCTTCCTCCAACATCGTCGTCGCTTCCTCGTTTCACCGATTTGCACCTAGCACGATGTTCACGTCCTCCAGCGCTTTTCCATGAGAAGTTTAAAGCAAAGACATTGGGAATGACCGTTGAAGGCTGCAGGTCAGCTTGGCAAGGAGAATTCCGAAGGATTCGCTCTGCTTCAAAACACAGTGCGTTGCCAGATTTTGACACGGCCAGGGATTCCTGTGGAGCCGAGAAGCTAAGTCGAAATAAACGTCGCCCTGGACCTAACTGTGCTCCCGCCCAGTTCATCAACCAAAAAGCCGTTGGTACTCGTCGTATGTAGGCTATCTTGCACTTCTGAGAGTCTGAGACTTGTCCCAACTACAAGCATATGATGCGGAGCATCATCCATGCCATCGTTGATGAACACGACCCAAGGCATGTTTGCGTTGATCGCTGTGTGCGTGCACACGACACAATTGCACTGCGGCAGAGGCAAGGGTGTGTGGCGTGTGGCGTTGATGCAGCTGAATCATGCATAAAGATCTATTCATGCATGAACATTGTGCATCATTCTGCAATCGGAATCCCTAAGAACTCGCGAGCGGCCTCCGCATGCCTAAAAAGTGCCGAACTTCGCGGTTGCAGATTGGCGGCTCAAGCTTGCTTCTTTTTTTGTTTCATTCCGTCGGGCGGGTTTGCCAAAGACATGGGCCCGAAGGCCGGATTCGGCTTCAGGCAAATGTTGTTTAGTAAGCCTCGACTTGACAGGTCTCAAAGAAGGAAAAGCGAAATCGATGTCGAGAGAGTGTGGTGAACTCCCCTCTCGAGACATTCTTTTTCAGGCGAGGGCCTCGGTTTGAAACCTGATTCTTTCCTTGTTGCTTTGAGCAGCTCAGGTTTGGGCTCCCACCCGACATCGAGCAGGCGCTCTGGAACGAGGTCAATTTTCGCCCAAAAAGCCGGCAGCCCTACCTCGCCGTGCGACCCGGTAAGCCGAGAGGACCTGATTGGTCGGTAACGGCCCGGGTCCACGGCGAGGAAGGGCTGTCGCACGGCTGGGTTGCACGCACGTCGAAGGACGGTAAGTCGTGGTTTCACCTGAGAGGAGTTGTCTTCTCAAAGATTTTTTAAAGCGGCTCCGTCCCAAAGAGGACTGGAAGCGTCTGTACATCTGGGAAATCCAGTTCGAGTAAAAAACGGCGTGAAGGAAGCAAGAGCCATGGCAAGATAGGAATGGCAGCCCAGTAGTAGCAGCAGTAGCAGCTGGCTTCACTCGCAGTCATCACACACATGGATGACGGATGAATGGCTGGATGTCTGACGCATATCTTGAGATCTCCACAATGATAGTGCTGCATAGAATTCTCCACACATCTAAATCTACATGTAGATATATCATGTGACCAGCATTCACTGCATAGCCTGCCATGCCCGACATCTTTATCGGATGGCCTCGTTTGCTTTGGCATCCGGGGACATGTTCCTTTACCCGTTTGAGTTTGTCAGCTTTCGGTCATGCTGCCATGGGCGACAAGATGATCCGAACGCCGGAGGCTTCTTTTCCCGTCTCCTTGCAGTTTCTGTTGCACTTCTTGATGACATGGATCTCGTGACATGGCATCGCTGCTGCGATATCAACATGACAAGTCTGAGACTGGGTAGTGGAAGCGCAGGTACTGATTGTTGTTCAACCTATATTTTCCACTTGCACAGTTCTTTTCAGTCTTTCAAGCTACCGCAACGCATGCCCGAGCGTCTCAGCCTGGCCTGAAACGCTGCAGCCTGCAACCCTGAAAGGATGATGAGTTCGCGGAAGCAGACGAGATCCTCTCAGAGCTCAGGAAGAAAGCCGACACAGGCCGGGAGTTCGAAATGAAGTCTTCGCCAAACAATAACCCTAAGCCCTAAACCCTGAACCCCTAAACCGCTAACCCCCTAAACACCTAAACCCTAAACCCCTAAACACTAAACCCCTAAACCCTAAACCCCCAAACCCCAAACCCTAAACTGGTTACATTGTGGCGCGATGTTGCCATTTTGAGAGTTCCAGGGACGAACTTAAGGTTTTGACGGACGACTAAGCCCGGACTCCTGAAAGTGCCTCTCCGCTGCTCTTCTATGATAGTATACTAGATCGACAATATATTGTATTATGTCACAATGTTGTATTTAAGCAGGCATGTGTGTGTATACATACATACATACATATACATACATACACATGCATGCACATACATGCACATACATACACATACAAACACATACAAACGCATACATACACATACATACACGTGCATACACATACATACGCATACATACATGCACATACATACACATACACATACATACACATACATTCACATACAT